AACTCCTTCGGTACATCAAAACTCATAAACTCATAATATAACTGTCATCGAAACCTTAAGCGTGCGGACCCTACGGGTTCGAGAACAATGTAGACATGACCGAGACACGTCTCCGGTCAATAACCAATAGTGGGACCTGGATGCCCATATTGGCTCCTACATATTCTACGAAGATCTTTATCGGTCAGACCGCATAACAACATACGTTGTTCCCTTTGTCATCGGTATGTTACTTGCTCGAGATTCGATCGTCGGTATCTCAATACCTAGTTCAATCTCGTTACCGGCAAGTCTCTTTACTCGTTCCGTAATACATCATCCCGCAACTAACTCATTAGTTGCAATGCTTGCAAGGTTTAAGTGATGTGCATTACCGAGAGGGCCAGAGATACCTCTCCGACAATCAGAGTGACAAATCCTAATCTCGAAATACGCCAACCCAACATGTACCTTTGGAGACACCTGTAGAGCTCCTTTATAATCACCCAGTTACGTTGTGACGTTTGGTAGCACACAAAGTGTTCCTCTGGCAAACGGGAGTTGCATAATCTCATAGTCATAGGAACATGTATAAGTCATGAAGAAAGAAATAGCAACATACTAAACGATCGGGTGCTAAGCTAATGGAATGGGTCATGTCAATCAGATCATTCAACTAATGATGTGATCCCGTTAATCAAATAACAACTCTTTGTCCATGGTTAGGAAACATAACCATCTTTGATTAACGAGCTAGTCAAGTAGAGGCATACTAGTGACACTCTGTTTGTCTATGTATTCACACATGTATTATGTTTCCGGTTAATACAATTCTAGCATGAATAATAAACTTTTATCATGATATAAGGAAATAAATAATAACTTTATTATTGCCTCTAGGGCATATTTCCTTCACCTTGTGTCAAGAATGATATTGTTAATATTGCAACCACACATGATAGTCATATGATCTTTTGAATTCTCCAAATTACACTATACCGAAGAACTTTGCTCTTATTAAGGGATTATATTAATGAATTGCATTTCTCTTATGCACATGATGATTTTAATATAAGTAATATGCATGTGATTGCTGCTCCTACTTGCAATTATTATAGAGAGATATCCTCATGGAAAATTACAAGAAAATGCTTATACTATGTGTTGGCTTTTACTTTGTGTTCACAGAAAAAGAGTTGGACTTCGTTGTTATGTGATCTATGTTACTTTGTGCTCACTAGTAAGATTCAAATCATTATTACTTAAAAGTGACTTTGATATTCCTTGGGACCCTCATGGAATTGAGCACTTTTCAGCCTAGCTACATTGCTTTTAAAAAAACAATGATTGGGAGGCAACTTGAAAGTTTCAGAGAGTATATTTCTTTGGGTTGTGTGCCAATGAGGTACTTCCTCCGTTCGGTGAAGAGTGTACATTTGACTTTAAAATTTGTCCAGAAAAGAGTGTACTTCTATCTTGCCGATGCACTTTAAAGTAGAAAAAAATGTTCCCCTCTCGTCACACGGTAATCAAGACCAATAACATTCTACACATGTTCTTTTTAATTTCTACATGCACTTAGCTCATTGGGGGTTGTGTTATTAAAGAGGAGAGAGATGGTGGCTTGCATCTTTTCAATGCATTTTTTACTCCACTCCATAATTTGTCCCAAAAAATTTATATGTACACTTTTCACCGGACGGATGGAGTTGATGCTATTGTAGCATCTTTGTATTTTTTTTTTAAATAAAGTGCCAAGATTTACCTTTAACATGTTTAGTTTAAAAAAATTAATTAGTTGGTATGAGCGACCGACAAAATCATAAATTCAGAAAATCCGACCATCAAATCTTTGGTTTTAAGTTTCAACTCTAAAACTTGGTACGAGCGACCGACAAAACCGTAAGATTTAGAAGTTGCAACCCACAATTCGTAAGTTTTAGGAACTAAAAATTAAAATTTGTTATACCCACATGCAGTATCCAACAACTTCGCGGATCGCGAGATAATACGACAGGCTGGCACGGCTGGGCAGGTGTGTGCCCTATGAATTTCTTTAAAAAAAGTTAGCAGATAAGTTGACATATTTTGCTGGGAGCTCCTAGTCAACGCTTTAACCGCCCGTATTTTTTTTTTTTGAGACATCTTTAAGCGCCCGTTAGCGCTGTTGGCGCTCGCAGCGTGGCGGGCCGGCCTAACAATCTGCTGAAAAATCCAACGCGATGAAAAAATTATACATTAAATCAGGTGAACTGGGAGTCAAACTCCGCCCCCCAGTGTCAACCGCACAGCCGCCAACCACTAGACCACGCTCGACTTCCTGACCTATACTGGGCAAACGAATCTAGTTAACCCTTCCTCTAGTGCAAACATTAGCATATACTAGTAGTATTATACCCACTATAAATTGGATAGAGTAAAATATAAATTTCAGAAAGAATTCACAAAACAATGAATTAAAAAAACTGAAAAACGTTCGTACAAATTGGAAAAAGTTCGCGATAATGGAAAAAGCTCATGATTTCAAAAAAGGTTCATGATTTTGAAAGAAAAAGTTCACTTATTTGAAAAAACCATAAAATTGTAAAAAGTTCATGCACTGTAAAAAAGGTCTTCAATTTACAAAATAGTTCGAAAAATTTAATTGACCTGAAAAAACTTTCATCGATTTTGAATTAAAAATCACGAATTTGGAAATAGTACATGGGGGCATGAAAAAAGTTCAACAATTTTGAACTAAAAAAATTACGAATTCAAAAATAGTTCACTGGGTTTTGAAAAAAGTTCACGGATTTTAAAAAACACTAATTTTTATTTAAAAAATCATGAATTTGAAAAAAAGTTCATCGAATTTAGCAAAGAAGTTCATTGATTTGAATAAAAGTTCATCAAATTTGAAAAAAGTTCATACATATTTTTAAAAAAGTTCATCAAATTTGAAAAAAGTTCATCGACTTTGATTTCATTTATCTAATTTGAAAAAAGTTAATTAAAATTTAAAAAAGTTTATCCATTTTGAAAAAAGTTCATCAATTCTCAAAAAGTTCACAAATTTGAAAAGGAGTTCATCGATTATTAATAAAAACAAAAATAAGAAAAGTTCACGCATTTGCAGAAGAAAAAGGAAACAAAAGAGAAACGGAGAAAAAAACAAGAAAAAAAACGCGGGCATCCCGATCTGGAGAAAGAATAAAAGTAGGAAAACGAAGTTAATTGTCAGCGGCTGCTACAAATCATCCGACTTATTTCCTCAGGAAATAAGTCCGACTTATTTCCTCAGAAAATAAGTCAGGTTCCAGCCGTCCGATCAAAAGCCCTCGATATGTTGGATCGGTCAACTTAGACCGCGTCGCTCTCACGCAATAGCACGCCGCGTGTGGCCTCGTCTTCCTCGCGTCGCTGCCAAATCAAAAAAAATCCCCACGCACACAGTATCCCTGAGATAGGCGCGGTGAGCTCCGGCGAGCGGCCCTGAACTAGCTCGTAGTCGCAGCCGCCATGCCGCGCTTGTTCGCAGCACCAGGCTCGGCCCAGCGTCATTCCTCGCCTTGCAAACGCATTACCGCCGCCGGTCATGGCAACACCGTAGACTCCAGGCGTGGCAGCAGCGCTTCACTGCAATGGGCTCCCCCCAAGAGGCGCCCGCGACGCTGCACCAAGCCACCCGCAAGCACATCGATGCAGCACCAGCACCGGGACCCCATTGCAGCTCCACCGACTGTGCCAAGCAGCTCCATTGCAGCTCCGTCGCCTGTGTCAAGAAGCTCCATTGCAGCTCCGTCGCCTGCGCCGAGCAGCTCCATTGCAGCTCCGTCGTCGGCGTCGAGCGCTCCATTGCAGCTCCGTCGCCTGCGCCGAGCAGCTCCATTGCAGCTCCACCGCCTCGTCGAGCGCTCCAATGCAGCTCCGCCGCGTGCGCCGAGCAGCTCCACCGCCTGCGTCGAGCGCTCCAATGCAGCTCCGCCGCGTGCGCCGAGCAGCTCCATTGCAG